TGACTCCTTAATATATACATAATATATTTTATAATATATAAATAATAGAAGTAACACTGTATGTATATACATATATGCATCTGTGTATGTGTATACATGTGTATATGTAATATAATACAGATATGTGTATATACAGATATACAAGTGAAAAAAGGCCTGACTCCTTAATATATACTTTATATATTTTATAATATATAAATATTGCAGCAGGTTTACACCTCCTGTTGTACCTGTTACACTGCTTATACCATCACTGCCTCCACCACTATTATTTTTATACTGACAATAATGAGCTACCGTGACTAATAACAAGCTATAGGAGAAGCTTACATAGGGCCAGGCACTATACTAGAAACTTTTCACACATGAACAATTTCAGATCTAACCATATTTTACCAGTGAGGAATCTGAGGCAGTGAATGTGAAGATGTGTACCCAAATTACAATGATAAGTAGCAGAACTAACATGTTTGCATCTCCGATAAGGTAGCTACTTACCATATGGGGCTATTTAAATTTGAATTTAAATTACTTAAAATGAAATAAAATTGCATACCCAGTTCCCCAATTACTCTAGCTACTTGGAGCTATTGGCTAATATATTAGAGAGAGTAGATATGGAACATTTCCGTTGTATGGCACTAACATTTTCTGACTCCAAAGTCATTGCATTTAATCCTTTGTTAAACACTGCTGATTCTTAAACACTTCCTATTTTAATTCTGGATAATTCATTCTGATAATTCCAGTAGAAGATCCTAGACCTGAATATGAGGTTTGTCTCCTTCTAAATTAAGGTTTGACTCATAAATGCAGTACATTCTTTGGTGTCTGTAAGTGTACACATTTTACGAGTATTTTATTCTACTTCATGACACCAAAAACCTTAGTTTCTCTACCTGAAAACATCAAATTGCTTTATTGTACTCTAAACATTTCTCTTTTTTTTTTTTTTTTTTTTTTTTGAGACAGGGTCTCACTCTGTCACCCAGGCTGGAGTGCAGTGGCCTGATCAAAGCCCACCACCACTGCAGTTTAAACCTCCTGGGCTCGGGTGATCCTCCCACCTCAGCCTCTCAAGTTGCTGGGACTACAGGGGCACGCCACCATGGCTGGCTAATTTCTTCTGTGTGTGGAGATGGGGTTTTGCCATGTTACCCAGACTGGTTTTGAACTCCTAGGCTTAAGCAGTCCACGTTCCTTGGCCACCCAAAGTGCTGGATTACAGGCGAGCCCCAGTGCCTGGACAGATCTTTCATCTCTGATTTGCATAATAGTTTGTTGTTGTTGTTTTACCAAAGAGGACACTAGCGATACTGCAGTACATGTATATGTCAGCCTTTTGCAGTTAGCCAAGCACTCCCTTATCTGTTCCATGTAAATATGCATAACAATGCCCTTCCTGAGATATTCAGAAAAACGTATTATTATGCTTAGTTTGTGGATTTAAAACAATACAAAACTGAGGCTTAGAGAATTTAAAGAACTTGCCCAAAGACATATGGCAGATGCTAGAGCTGATCCTTTTCTTTTATTGCTTTATTTTTGTTAAGTATGCATTGTATTGTAAATTATATGGAAGCAATGACATCAATAACTGGGTTGGGATGGAATGGGGAGGTGTGGATGACACTAAATAAAATACAAATATCAAAGAACCGTAAGGGTAAAGAACATAGAATATATTCCCAGATATTGGATTGTTTCTAAATATGATAAGACTATCAAATTTAAACCATCCTTCTATTAGACTTAATTATAATCAGTTATAAAGAATACCCCTGCCAAGTTTCAAACTCTAGCCTTCTAATTCACCCCTTGGTATTGCAAACTTCACCCTAGTAACCAAGACATAGAAGAGAATTGAAAGATTAGAGTGGAAATGCACTCCATTGCTTTCCTGTTTATCTTTTCTTTTCTTTTTCTTTAGTTCGCATGCACAAAACTAATATTTATTGCATGACAAATGAGGAACAAATTAAAGTGTGACTCCAGCTTGTGGAAATCTTTGGTGCATAAAACTTCGACCATGACAGATCCAGCTTTGAAAATTATTGCCTCCAAAATTTAGTTACTCTGGCAACCAGTTTTCTTTAACCAGGCAACTTAGAATCTTTCTTTGTACATTCGTGTCTTTTAAAAATTTTCATTAACATCCAGAATTTTCAAGTTGATTAATTAAAGAAAATTTCTGAAATTTAGTTTTTAAGTCATTAAAAAAAACAAACACTGTAGAGTTTCATAGAAATTGCCTAAGTCAGGGGATGGGAACGCCTCTTCAGTGTAGGATTTATTCTAGTTCAACACAGTTGTTCTGTGTTTTCCCCTAAAAAGGACTTCATGCCAGATAAAGGTTTTAGGTTTTAGACTTTTTTCGTGTAATCATAGGGATAATTGTATTTACACATAATAAAATTGCCTCTCGTTATTTTCCGTAGTACGTTATAACTGTTATCTAAGGTAACGGAGTTAGCTGAGGCACGCTCCCAATCCTATTAAACCCAACAGAGCAGCACAGTATTTGCCAAGTTAGAACATCATTTTGACTTGTCTTTTGGATCAGGCAACCAACAATGTATTTGGGCAATTTTCCAGTTTCTTTGAATTCGTTACAATTGGGTAATTTTCTCCCATGTATATTGTAATAGAAAGAATTACAGGATAAAAAGGCACAGGGAACTCAATCATACTGATTTATTAAATTATGAAAATCCAATGCACTTTTTTGGATCCAAAATTGTTAAACATTCTGGTATGGTACCATGTTTCTTTTCTTCTGTTGTACGAAACAGTTATGAAATGTCAGTTTGGTTTTGCTTCATTCGTTACAATTTCTCTCATATGTTTCCTTGAGAGGAATGGTTTTTTGTTGTTGTTGTTGTTATGTTGTGTTTTTTCATATTTTTAAGTTTAAAAAGTACAGTATTCCATTATCATGACTCTGTATGTACTTTACCATCCACAATCCTAATTCCAGAGTTCTTTAAATAGGCCTCTTGACAGTGCAGCCAGCTCAGTGAGTGGTTGGTCATTCGAACGCAGCACATTGTATCTCCTTTTAATATTCTGAATCAGTGCATCCTATAAATGCATTTTGAATAATGCATGTCTCCTACTTTAATTACTTGTTTAATTATCTTTAGTTTGTTTCAAAGCCTAGAGCAACTGCTGTTGCTTGGATGATTAGAAAATTGCTTCCAGTTGCAGAAATCTATTTCCTGTTGTTTCTTCTGGCAGTGATTGCAGATCGGCCTCCCCCAGTTATTCGACAAGGTCCCGTGAATCAGACTGTAGCTGTGGATGGCACTTTAGTCCTCAGCTGTGTGGCCACAGGCAGTCCAGTGCCCACAATTCTGTGGAGAAAGGATGGAGTCCTCGTTTCAACCCAAGACTCTCGAATCAAACAGTTGGAGAATGGAGTGCTGCAGATCCGATATGCTAAGGTACCTTGGAATGGCACCTGGGGTTTCTTGTTTTGTTTCACTTTGTTTCTGCCTCCAACAACTGGCATTGAAATTTCAAACTTTGCAGTTAATGAAATGTTAAATGAAGAGTAGTAATATATTTTTAATTTGATGTTTTATTTTTTTCAGATATTTCATTGTATATGTTTGAGATGATTTAAACTCATAATTTAGTCCATGGCAGGTAATTTAAGGTTATATGGAGGAGAAGAAAAAAAAGGATTTCTGAGAACCTACTGAGGAAACTAGATGAGGGTTTGTGAGAGAATAAATGTCTTCAAAGTAGTGGTATGATGTAGTCCTTCCATAAGGCATCTTTTAAGATATTTACCTGTATCATTTTATGTGCAATATACTTTGATAGTTGTTCTGTTGTAAGTATTTGTTTCATCATTTTGCAATGACAAAACTGTATATGCAAACAAAAGCCATAAAGCAATGTACACACCAAGTGTACAATTCAAATCAGAATGCTAAATGATGGAAAACCCACAGGTTTATAGGAACCATTTAAGGATTTACTTTCACAGGGCGTCACATCCCATGCCTGCTCTTTCAGGACTTTATTGTTTTGATTTTTCTTCTTTTTATAGGTCAAGATCAGACCAGCTCCTGAGGCATATGAAAGAATGGTCCTGACAGCAATAAACATAACTTTCTGTTGCTTGATTTCCTAGTGTGGGTGGTTCCTTTGGAGCACGGGATCAGCATCACAGTTCACTTTAAGTGCCACAGCAGTTAATATGTTGTACTACTTTGTGACCTGGTTATTGCAATTGCCAGAGCAAGATGACAACATTCTTTCTTTATCAGATGTTACTTGAAGACGGTTATTAGCTTGAGCAGAAGTAGATGGGTTTATTCTGCTGCTGCTGATTTCAGAGTTGAACGTGTGGCCTGTTTGCTCTCTGTCAGTCAGTTTTTAAAGAGGAACGAGAGTGTTCATTCCAGCTTGAGTCTGGCTTTGTACTTCTTAAACTGCCTTAAGTTCCAGGTTTGAAAACCCGGGAAAGTCAGTCTTTTAAGAAAAAACTCTGTAATTCCCATCCTTTTTCTGTTGATCTCATATATCCATATAGGTATAACTGATAAAATATAAAGGCAAGAATAGCCATTGGTTAAGCTTTATCAGCCTTATTATATGACTTACTAAACATAAAGATATATTTTAGCAATAAGTATTAATGCTTTGAATTTGAAGAGTTGTATGCCTTACCTTAGGAATTATTGTCCCTGAGACTGATGATAATATATGCTAATGCAATTAAATATTTCTTATTCTACCATTAGAACAATCATATAAAAATCTCTTTTTTTCTATATTGATGTAATATTTTCCCTCACATTCAATAAAAATATATTCAATTAAGGGGAAGTTTCTGGTTAGTGAATTTTAATGCAGTTATCCATATTCATGGATCATATACAAACCTGTAATTGCGTTTTCAGCCCAGTGACTTCTTGATTTTTCCAAATATTTATTTTTTGTCTGCCTTCTCAGCTGGGTGATACTGGTCGGTACACCTGCATTGCATCAACCCCCAGTGGTGAAGCAACATGGAGTGCCTACATTGAAGTCCAAGGTAAATTAAATGGTATATTTCCCTTAAAGTAATGCTTAAAATGCAGTTATTTACTTACTGGGATATTAATGAAGTAAATGTCCTGTTCCCTGAGTAGGTGTATGAATATGTTATCTGCATTTGTATGCTTACCTGTGTATGTGTAAACATCTTTTATTTTGGCCTTTTTTCCCACTTTTTAGAATTTGGAGTTCCAGTTCAGCCTCCAAGACCCACTGACCCAAATTTAATCCCTAGTGCCCCATCAAAACCCGAAGTTACAGATGTCAGCAGAAATACAGTAACATTATCATGGCAACCAAATCTGAATTCAGGAGCAACTCCAACATCTTATATTATAGAAGCCTTCAGGTAGAGTGAAGGAGATGCTTCCTAGTTGTTCTTTTTTGATTCGCCATTAAATACGCATGTTCTAACCTGTGTGTCTGTCCGTAGCCATGCATCTGGTAGCAGCTGGCAGACCGTAGCAGAGAATGTGAAAACAGAAACGTTTGCCATTAAAGGACTCAAACCTAATGCAATTTACCTTTTCCTTGTGAGGGCAGCTAATGCATATGGAATTAGTGATCCAAGTCAAATATCAGATCCCGTGAAAACACAAGGTAAATATTGATTTACTTAACCCTGTGACACCTACTTATCCTTAGATGTTGTAGTGCACAAATGACTTGTGTTACCTGTTACAATTGTACATTTACAGTCCCTTGTTCAGGTTGCCCAAGTCGCTTAAATTAGTTTGTAATATGCAAACACAGTGTCTACAGACTTTAGTATTTTCTGGACTAAGCATACAAACCTAAGATGGATGAACAAAGAGAACTGTTTCTCATAAAATTACAAACATACCAAGACAAAAGTATGATGTGAGGAGATGGAAAGTACAATGATGGTAACCAGAGACTGGGAAGGGTAGTAGGGTGGCTGTGGGGAGAGGGGATGGTTAATGGGTACAAAAAGAAATAGTTAGATATTAGAAATAGTTAGAATGAATAAGATCTAGTATTAGATATAGCAATAGGGTGACTAGAGTCAACAATAATTTATTGAACACTTTTAAATAACTAAAGTATAATTGGAATGTTTGTAACACAAAAAAAAGGATAAATGATTGCGGTGATGGATAGCCCATTTACCCTCATGTGATTATTATGCATTATATGCCTATATCAAAATTTCTCATGTACCCATAAATATATACACCTGTTAAGACCCATAAATTTAAAAATACGTGGATATTTGTGTATTCCATTCAATTTCCTGAATTTTAAATATAGTAACATATAGGTGTACAATCTTAATCATATTATAATTGTATTTAAAATTAACTGAATTTTATTTATATATAAGTTCAGTACTTACAACCTTCTGGATGAATTTTTACATTACAATCCTAATCAGATAATACTCTCTTGAGATCACATGAATGTAGGAGATATCTGGAAACTTGTTATTAATTCCTCTGTCCAGTTAAACTCCAACAAGCATGGAGAAAATACTTTAGGTCTTTATTTTGTTTGGCCTGTCTTTATTGTCAGTTATATATGAGCCATGATATAAGAAACTTTTAAATGAAAAACACCTACGTTTTGGTCAAAGCTGGGTTCGCAAAACAGATAAAAGAAAAACGGACATGTTTAAAGCTACTTCTAGAACATTTAAAACTGGAAATTTTGTTCCTTTGGACCAAATTTTGGGTATTCTGCATTTTATCTTTTGTGAACAGAAATTACTTTTAGCTTTTAACAGACGGATTATTTTCATCTCTCCACACTCTGGCTCATCCTATTATTTTAGTGCTCTAATAGGAGTAAAATTAATATACTGGAAAAAAAAGAGATGAATTTGAATCATCCTTGACCTTTTATTTTTGGGAAAAAAAAAGACACATGTCATTGTAAATAAAATGTGCTTGTTTTTATATTAGTAAAGAAAGGTAATTTTAGAGGGGAATGATTCGAAGTATAAAATTATTTTCTCAACATACAGAGGGATAGTGTTTCTATCTTAAGGAAACAAAGGAAAAAAGAAAGAAAATAGACTTGGTTATTTTAATAGAAACAAGTTATACACGAGATGACTGAGACTTAAACTCCTTTGTTGCTGGTTTGGGAGAGCGGTCTGCCAGCCATGTTGCTGTTTTGTTACTTCAAGTATGTACCTAAACAGTCTTTTTGGAAGCACTTCTTGTTTCAGAATTTGCAGAAAAAGCACACCAAGTTGTAGAGCATACCCACGTGTGTCTCTTGTGTGACTGTAACACACCCATAGCTCATATTTGCTATTATGAATCACCTTTCCAGGAGCCTTAAGGCAGTCTGAGGTTTTTGATATTAGATACACATTTGTAAGGAATGTAGACCCAATGACAGCTGTAAAATGAATTTAAACGTTTGTCCCCAGTACAATGGTCTCCAGCCAGTAGACTGTAACTGAAGGTTTTTGGCGACTGCAGCTTAACTCTGTTTTGTCCTGTACTCACATGCATGATTCCGTAATACGTAACCTCATTTGTAAGTGAGGAGTGAGTTAGCATTCTGTCTGAACATTCATGTAGTCTTTTTCACATTTCTGTCAATTGGCCTTTGTATATGCATAGATAGTGGAACAATGTGTATAGTCTGTTCTCACGCTGCTAATAAAGAACTGCCCCGAGACTGGACAGTTTATAAAGTTAAGAGGTTTAATTGACTCGCAGTTCAGCATGGCTGGGGAGGCCTCAGAAAACTGACAATCATGGCGGAAGGGGAAAGTAACACGTCCCGCCTCGCATGGTGGCAGGAAGAAGTGCCGAGCAAAAGTGAGCAGAGCCCCTTATAAAACCATCAGATCTCATGAGAACTCACTCACTGTCACGAGAACAGCAGCATGGCGGTGACTACTCCATGATTTAATTACCTCCTACCGAGTCCCTCCCGTGACACGTGGGGATTATGAGAACTACAGTTCAAGATGAGATTTGGGTGGGGACACAGCCAAGCCATAGCGATCCAAGTATAATGCATCCTTGTCAACTGGAAGACTGGAAACGTAGAGAAACAGGCGTACAACTGTGAAATCAAACACGTGTTTTTAATTTCAGCTCCTCAGTCTACTAGCTGCGTGGCCTTGAGCAAATTAGTCAACCCTTGTGAGTTTCCTCACCTTTAAAACGGGGCTGCACATACCCATTCCGCAGGATTGGACAAGGAATAAATTAACTAATCAATATATAAGTACATAAGATGCAGATTTGTGTTTTATTTTCCATAAAATCTATTATTGGACTTGTATGTCTTTTAGTGTCAGGACTAAAAGGAAGTTCATAAAATTTGAGGGTATCATAAAACTGAGAAAGACAGCTAGTATGCCAAATGAGAGAATCAGAATTAAATATAGCTCAACAGATTGGACTGATGGGAGAGTGCTCACTATTAAAGTTAATAGAGCAAATTAAAAAGTTGGGTACTTGAACTTGGGTTTAAAAAATTAGCTGTAAAAGGAATGACTAAAGACAGCAGGCTTGCGGGAGGTATATGCATGCGTGTCGGGGCTCTCAGAATGGTCTGACTTTAAATTAAACACCCGTCTGAACCTACTGAGGGATGTAGTTGCCAAGAGAGCAAATGTAGTCTCAGCTGGCACTAGAATTATACCTGGATCAAGTAATTTTTCTCTCTTTACTTAGAACTATTCCGTTCATGAACGGAGTAATGTGTTTGTTCTGGACACTACATTTTCAGATGGACTTTTAAGAGGAGGACAATAAGGATAGTCGATGAGGCCGCACGAAAGGCTGAAAATCACATCATATGAAAAGACATTCAAGGATCTGGGCATGGTTAGGCCAGAAAGTAATAACATCAGAGCAGACATGACATCTTTTCCTTAACATATTAAGAAACTGCCGTATGGAAGAGTCATGCTTTTTCTAGCTTGAGGCAACAGCAAAGGGCCCATGAGAAGTAAAATTGAGGCACGTATCTTACCGATTCTTGGACCTCATTTGAGGCTGTAAGCCCAGGATTATAACCGTAATAAGAACCTGGGGAGTAACCTGCAAAAAAAATTTCACTGGAGGGAACAGAACGCATACACAGTAAGGAGAAAAATAAGGGGTGAGGAAATTCAAGAAGGACTTGTTGGAAAGTGATTCCTAAAGGAGCAGGCATAATTTCTCTAACCATTTCTGGAATATGGTTGCAAAAGAATCTTCCCCAAGTGTAGATACATATGAATGAGCTGGAGTCAAAAGCTAAAGGTGCACAGATACAGGGCACAGGTTCCCTGTACAGGAATCAGGTAGACCTATGTCATGGTTGGAGTCAGAGCCTTGCTATGTGGTGATCAACGTGTGCTTTCCCAAAGACAAGATGTGATGATGCAAGGAAGATGGGATGAGCACCTGGCAGGTGGGGGTGGTGGTCATCATCGCTGAGATGCGGCTGTTGTTATCGTTGTTCGTTGCTATGATTCTTCACCCACGTGTCCTGTCTGTGCATCATTCTTGGACCCTAGGATGTACAGATACACAGAACATATATATCATACCTAAGGTGATACCAGTTATCATCAGTGAGTGGGGCCTGGATAGTCTCCCCTCGGAGATTGTGTATGTGAAGTTTTCACGTTGGGGGAAACAGTTGGCTGGAGCAGTTAGGTTTTCCTTAAGTCAATTGTGAATATTGGGAAAGACCTTCTACATTGTCATACATTTCTTTCAGGAGGTAGAGAACAAAAACAGTAAGAGGATCAATTTGTAAACTTCTCAAAATTATTTTATTAGGCGTCACTTTCCCTTTTTCTCTCCGATGTGAACGTTTCTATTATGATATTATAGACACCTGTTGCTGTCATGGGTACTAGGTGGGAGAATCTAGCAATTTCCATGAAGGAACTGACTGGTGGGTTTATCTCCTATTAGAGGAATTCGGGATTGGGATGCAGACCGTGGCAGTTACAGATAAAATGGTTATTTCTGTATTTGAGGAGACTTTCTGAAAGGGAGATGATTTTGTGAGGATGGGAGCTTACGTATGAGGGAGATATTTGGAAGCTGACATGATGTGTGTGTTTTCCACATGTGAATACATTTTAATTGAACCTATGTTTATTAAGCAACACTTATGTATATGGCACTATGCTATGTACCATGGGTCCACAATCCCTGCTCTCAGGAAAAGCACTTTTTATGTCTAATACAAGACAGCTTTTACCACAGCCCTCAGGATTAGCTGCCTTTGATATCACCATTTGAAGCACAAGGAAACTGGGGAATAATGAGGTTAAGAAATTGTTCCAATGTTATGCGGTTTTTACGTTGCTGAGGTGGTGTGCAAACCCAAGTCTGTTTTATTCCAAGTATTTCAGTCTTATCTTAGAAATGGATGGCAGTTTAAGTCATAGGAGCAAATGATACCAGTGGATAAGGAAGAGATGGAAAGCTGATGGTCAAGTGTTTACTACATAGAGGCTGTGATAATAGTTATCCTGAGGGCAGATCCTAGCCAAAAATATTGGTAAAGTAAGATGAAATACAGAATTATCCCAGTTCTTTTTTTTTTTTCCATCTTGTTTATTTATCAGCTTAATTTCTAGGTTAAGTATAAAAACAACCAAACAATATGTAAGAGTGTTTGATGTCCATCTTGATGTCATTTCTTCCGCTTGCCTAGCTTCCCTGGACTTCATCCGAGATACTTAGCAGTCTCATTCTTAGTATTCCTGCTTTTGCTTTCTACCCAAGATCAATTCTTTGAAGGTATTTAATGATTCAGTAAACTAAAATTCTCATTTTAATTTTTTTATATAATGTGGAATAATCTGGAATGTAGGTGCCCACATGCAATACTTTGAGAAAGAGAATTCTGAAGTCCAAAAAACATTTTCTTCACTTCCTCCCAAGTATTCCCTGTTACTGTTATAAACAAAGCAAAACACCTGTTTAGAAAACCGCTTCAGAAATGGGCAAATGTTTTTTGAGTGTAGACTTTAAGAAGCTTATTTAAAAAATTAGCGTTAGTAGCCATTTCATTCTTACTGTGTTCTTAGTTTCCTTTCTAAAATTTGGGGGCTGCTGTGATTAAGAACTCTTTATTAAACCTTCTTTACGATGACACAGTAACTAAACTAAATCATCATCAATTACATAAATGTTAAGTACTTTTTTCTCATGAATCTAATCAGATTGATTTTATTTTACTTCCTTGGTGGCATCTGTATCACCTCCATTGTAGCCACTAACTTACCATATACCTTATATGAGAAAATATCCAAGTTCATCTTAATGATGTGTAAAGTATCTGACTTCTTTCTGTTCTTGGTTTTCACTAACCATATCTCCTTTCTTTTCATTGCTTAGCCACTCTGCTGCAATTGCAGTCTCTTTTCTGTCTTGTATAGTTAGGACCACTACAGGTTTTCATAAACTCAGAGGGCATTGCACTAGTGCCCTCATTTTCATCAGGAAAGTGATCATGGCATGGTAGGAGGAGCCACTCAATGTTGCTATTTGCCATTGTTGTCTTTGCTTCCTGCTCTTTTTGACTTTCTATAATACGTGTCCTCTGCATTCTCTCTCTCTCTGTATGTCTATCCCCTCTTACTTTCCTGATCCTAATAAAAAGGTTAAATTATTATTATTATTATTTTTTTTTTTCTGAATCACAGCCTGGCCTGTATTCTACTTAACTGAGAGTTGCTATGAATGAAAAGTTTGTTTTACCATGCTTTCATTCAGTTCAGTAGCATTGTGTAGAAACTGACACAGTTTTCTTGAATTGTTGTAGATGTTCCACCAACAAGTCAGGGGGTGGACCACAAGCAGGTCCAGAGAGAGCTGGGGAATGTTGTTCTGCACCTCCACAACCCTACCATCCTTTCTTCCTCTTCCATCGAAGTGCACTGGACAGTGAGTTGTTACAATATTTGATCTCAGTTTTCCTAAGCGTCTGGGAGATCATTATAATGCATATAAAATGTAACTATCTGTTGCCTACTTGTACATTAATGATAACTTTACAGTGTAAGCCCTGTTTATTACAGTGCTTATTAGTTGGGCTTTAAACAGAAAAATGTTGCATCTTGAGCCTATTTTTTTCTTACTGTGCTGCAGTAGTGAACTTGACCTGTCTCAGGAAAGAAACAGATAGTATTAACTATGATATGTAACTTGTGATAGGATCATTATTACATGAATCTTTTAAACTTGGAGATATTTCCAAGTAGTGTTAAGTAGGCTTTTAAAATCAGAGAGTCATCAAACATTTTAGCTTCTCATCCCCTTGGCCCAGGCGTGTCTTACATGCAATGTTAGAGCTGCCATCAGGCCTCACATTTCTGCATGAAGCATAGAAGTTAATGCCACAGAAATTTGTATCACCTTACAAAAGATAGTGGATTTTTTTTCAGTATTCTACTTACTTGAATGTTTTAGCTGAAGATTTACAAAAGATAGTGGATTTTTTTCAGTATTCTACTTACTTGAATGTTTTAGCTGAAGATTCCTTTGGATTTTCTATGAGCACACTCATGTTGTCCACATTCTAATGAGTTTTATTTTTTCCTTTCTAATTCTTACACATTTCTTGTGTAAGAATGTGGGATGAAGCCAGACAGAATTTTGTGCATTTTATAACATTTAATTTTTATTGTTTTCTAATGAACCAGTAAAATAGTATGAATAATTACATTTTACTTGTCTTTTTAATAGGTAGATCAACAGTCTCAGTATATACAAGGATATAAAATTCTCTATCGGCCGTCTGGAGCCAACCACGGAGAATCAGACTGGTTAGTTTTTGAAGTGAGGACCCCAACCAAAAACAGTGTGGTTATCCCTGATCTCAGAAAGGGAGTCAACTATGAAATTAAGGCTCGCCCTTTTTTTAATGAATTTCAAGGAGCAGATAGTGAAATCAAGTTTGCCAAGACCCTGGAAGAAGGCAAGTATGATGAAGCGTATGATTTCCATGCAGTGCAGTATATTTGTTAGGATTGTACTGGCTTAATTTAAATTGTTAGAATGTTAAGAGTGGCATTAATTATTAACTTTCTTGATATTGAACATACATTTTGCTAACAGTATTTGTTTATTTAGAAAACTGGAAAAGCAAAATGCTATAATAGTTGACTTGCTTCAATAGTGGCCTACCTACAAATGTGCAAATGTGAACATTATATTACTTAAGGATATACAGAAATTTAATTATTCAGAACTAAAATTCACATTTAAAAATGAAATTGTTTTCCATTTGGTTTATTTTACATTCAGCATTTTCTATTTGTTTGTTTTGATCCATGATTGGAGTAATGTGTTGATTTGCCCAGGACTTTCTGGGATTAACATTTTTTTTGTTTGTTTGTTTTTGTTTTTGAGACGGAGTCTGGCTCTGTGGCCCAGGCTGGAGTGAGCGGCGCCATCTTGGCTCCCTGCAAGCTCCGCCCCCCGGGTTCCCGCCATTCTCCTGCCTCAGCCTCCCGAGGAGCTGGGACCACAGGCGCCGCCACCGCGCCCGGCTGGTTTTTTGTATTTTTAGTAGAGACGGGGTTTCACCGTGTTAGCCAGGATGGTCTCCATCTCCTGACCTCGGGATCCGCCCGCCTCGGCCTCCCAAAGTGCTGGGATCACAGGCGTGAGCCACCGCGCCCGGCCGGGATTAACATTTTCTTCCTAAATCTCATCTCTCTTAAAACACCTCAGTTCTAGACAAACCACTATAGCTGACCACCCTAGTCCTAGAAATTAAACAATATTTACATAAAGGTAAAAGATTACATTAAATTACAGCACGATGTTTCCCAACATGTCTTTGTCACTGTGGCTGTATAAATAATTATGATGAATGATGAACATTCATTTTCATACTTTTGAACATTTTGAGGGAGAACAGGAGACTAGAGTTACAGGGTGGAGGAAATAGGAATTGTCCTGGGATGTTTGGTGGAAACAAGGTGTTTAACTTTGTTATGGAAAATTCACAGTGGCAGTTAATTAGCATTGAGTGAGGAACAACTTAGGTACTTTGGGACTATTCAGACTTGGATGAAATACATCTTTAAAACAGATGCAGCCGAGCACAGTGGCTCACGCCTGTAATCCAAGCACTTTGGGAGGCTGAGGCGGTGGATTTGGGAGGCTGAAGTCAGGAGTTGGAGACCAGCCTGGCCAAAGTGGTGAAACCCCGTCTCTATTAAAAATACAAAAATCAGCGGGGCGTGGCGGCCGCACCTGTAATCCCAGCTACTCAGGGGGCTGAGGCAGGAGAATCGCTGGAACCCGGGAGCGGGAGGTTGCAGTGAGCCGGGATCATGTCACTGTATTACATACAGCCTGGACAACAGGGGGAGACTCCGTCTCAAAAAAAAAAAAAAAAGCATATGTTGAAATAATATTAAATATTGATTATTGGTTTTGATATTAATAACCTGCTTTCAGTGTTCTCCAGCACATTGTAATAACCTACCTTTTAAACAATTTAATAGCACCCAGTGCCCCACCCCAAGGTGTAACCGTATCGAAGAATGATGGAAACGGAACTGCAATTCTGGTTAGTTGGCAGCCACCTCCAGCGGACACCCAGAATGGAATGGTCCAAGAGTATAAGGTATGAGAAGAATGTATGTGTACGAATGTCCTGACGGACAGCCCCCGCCATTCACAAAGAAAAAGCTGGTATTTGTTTGTGGATATTTGGCGCCATCTGCTGGTCCAAATAGCAACATGTAAATTATTTGTAAAACGCTTTCTTGTTTATTCAGTGATTTTGAAATTCTGATTCAGTTGGTCTGACAGGGGCCCTTGGACATATATTTCGGTGAATCTTTTGGCGATTCCGATGTGCGTTCTTAGTTAAGGCCCAAATAAGACTGTACATGTTCTTCTGAGTAGCAAATTAATCTGTACAGCAACCAAGTATCCTGAGCCGAATTTTATTTTATTTTCAAAATAGTTTTAAAAACAAATTGAGAAACCTCTTTATGAAATGTGTGTATATTAACAGTGTGGTTTTTAAAGTATTTAAAAGACTGCCATAAGTGCACTGTGGATGTTTTAATATGTTTCAAATAAGATTTTCTAGCATAATTGAGGCATTAAAAGTCTCTGTACTTTTAAGTGTTTTCCTAAGAGTTTCAAGGCTGTCTCCATACTGAGGATTGACAGGATACTATGTGTTAGTCTAGGAAAATAGAATGTTATAGAAGATTTTTAAGGATTTAAAATGAGATGATGTCTCAGCTCTCAAGGTAAACTGTGGAATGTAGGCATTTTCACCTAAGAGTCAAAACTCATTTCTCTCCTGAAGAAATGCAAAAGGGTGGATTTCCCTTAACTTCACGGTCAATTTAAAATAATAAAATGCCTTGCTGAACCTGATTGACTGGTACAAAATCAGTTTGTGGCTTTGGTTCAGCTGTATAATGTAATTGGGGTTTAAAAAAAAATCACAAAAGAGTCTTTATTTCCAAATGGTCAGCTCCTCGTATAGGGTCTGACCATTTCTTGGTATTATGTATTGAAACTATATTAAAATAATACTAACTTTCAAAGAAAAAAGTAAAAGGATAAATGATGGAGGAGACTCTCATACTTAGATTTCTTTTAAATCTCACTTCCTATTACAGTTTAGACAATTGTGTACTTAAAGTTAATGGTATATATTGCTTGAGGACATCATAAAGAATTCAGAGCATGTCAGTTGGGCGTGGCAGCTCACCCCTGTAATCCCAGCACTTTGAGAGGCCAGCCTGGCCAACATGGTGAAACCCCATCTCTACTAAATATACAAAAATTAGCTGGGTGTGGTGGTGCACACCTTTAATCCCAGCTACTCAGGAGGCTGAGGCAGGAGGATCACTGGAACCCAGGAGGTGGAAGCTGCACTAAGCCAAGATGGCAGCACTACACTGCAGCCTGGGCGACAGAGCAAGACTCCATCTCAAATAATAATAGTAATAATGTGCATGTTTTTCTATACATCATTTTCTTACGGAAACTGAGTTTGAACATTGTCATGCACCATATCCAAGTTCTTACACATCGCAGAAAATCACTCGGTGATGAATCTTTTAGTGAAATTTAAAACAAAGATTATAGTATAGTTTGAAAATCTCAATTTCTTGAGAATAGTTTTCGATCACAAATATTATTAGCCAAGTTAATCAGGTAGCTCTAACTTTCCCATTAGAAGAAAGGTTTTTTCACATCAAATACGTATTGCTATTCTTTATGATCTCGTGGATGCTGTGAAGCACTGATAGTCCCATTTAAATAGACGATCGGAGGGCGAATTTTCCCTCACCAACAATACAGTTCAGTGTACCAGAGGGTGAATAGAATCCTGGGATGAGGCTTACCCCTTGTGTGCAGTTTTGTTTCTAATAATCTTAGTTGTGCAAACTGCTTTAGCGTATTCAGAAGCTCTCCTTCCTTTTCAGTCAGCTACTCTTAGTAAACTGTGATGTGCCAGTGTCAGTGCCAGGCAGATTGATCCCAGAGAACGATTGAAGTAAAGTACAAGACTTGGAGTTTCCTACTCATTTTTGTTTTACAATATCTGGTCATCATGCCTAGAATGCAGATGTTGAATGGTATTCTTCTTGATCTGCGTAGACACAGCTATCTGCGAGCTACTTATTTATCTGGCAAATAATGTCTTGTTAAGAAATCCTAATGAAGTAGGCTGATGGAAACTTCTACCTTCAAGCACAGATTTGTAGACTTACCTGATATAGCCTTTTAAAAGTATATGAGAAAGTAATAAAGACACCTTGAAACGACTTTTAACATTAAATTTGAATAGAAGATTGTTCATAGAACTAGATTTTGGGGAAAAATGACTTTGGAAACTTCTTATGGTAGCGCATGACCGTTTTGAACTCTGTCTAGGTCTAAAACTGCAATCCTGTGTTGATCTTTGCATTAATGTAGGTCATTTACAGCTTGACTTTCGCTTCGTACAGGTTTGGTGTCTGGGCAATGAAACTCGATACCACATAAACAAAACAGTGGACGGTTCCACCTTTTCTGTGGTCATTCCCTTTCTCGTTCCCGGAATCCGATACAGTGTGGAAGTGGCAGCCAGCACTGGGGCTGGGCCCGGGGTGAAGAGTGAGCCTCAGTTCATCCAGCTGGGTGAGTGTCAGTGCGGATCCAGGTTGACAGTCTTTCACTCTGCCATGTGGTCCCGCCTTGCTCTTCTGCATTTGGCTGAGCCACCGCCATTGCTAATTTAATAGAATATGGAATATGGCTTATAGCTACAAAAAGGTGTTAGCTTTACTTAAAATATAGGGGAGAGAGACAGAGAGAGAGAGAGAGAGAGAGAGAGACTAGATGCAGATATATAGACATAGATATCTCAACTAAACTTGAACATATCCAAGCACACATTTTTGATATTTCAAGCAAAAGGCTGTCCATATTCAATGTTATGCTAATCCTGTCCTAGATAATGTTTTTATCTATTAAACAAATCCTATTAATTGAGCACCAAGGATACCTCCGTGAACATGAAAGACAGTCTGTACCTTCATGGAACTCACAGTTGCTTGGATTTAAAATCAAACAGGCCGGGCGCGGTGGCTCACTCCTGTAATCCCAACACTTTGGGAGGCCAAGGTGGGCAGATCACGAGGTCAGAAAATCGAGACCATCCTGGCTATCAGGGTGAAACCCCGTCTCTACTAAAAATACAAAAAAACATAGCCAGGCGTGGTGGCAGCGCCTGTAGTCCCAGCTACGCGGGAGGCTGAGGCAGGAGAATGGCGGGAACCCGGGAGGTGGAGCTTGCAGCGAGCTGAGATTGCACCGCTGCACTCCATTCTGGGTGACAGAGTGAGACGCCGTCTCCAAAAAAAAAAAAAAAAAAATCCAACAAGCAAACTTCTATTTAAAACTTAAACCAGGTATTAGAAGTTTATAGCAATGACCAATTTATATTTACATGTAGTATCTATTTAAAATTATAATTGCTTATTATAGCAAAAGATAGATTGAGATGACAAGAAGTATTAAAATATGTTTATATGCTGATTGCTTAGAAAGTTAAATACAATTTGTGCCTCAAACATAGTTAGATGAATTAAAAAAAAAAAAAAACATCAAAAGCTTCATTACCACGGTTCACTCTAGGCAATATGGCATGAACATAAAGTACAAATTAGTAAGTGCATGGTAGTAAATTCTAAAACAAACAGCAAAACAATGACAAAATGCCATTGTAACTGAAAAGGAAGAAGAAAGGTTCAAATGTTTAGAAGCTGTGTTTAAATTATGAATGATGCCAAGAAGTATATAGCACCTTTATGTGTTTGTCTTCCAGATCAGAGGTTAAGCATTAGTAGTATTTTATTACTAGTGAAATATTAGTATATGTTACTAATATTACAATCAGTTGTTCAATCATCAAAAGGGATCCGATGTATGAAGCTTTGTATTTCACAATTACATACTATTTTTGCATGTTAATAATATTGATGACATCCTGGAGATCATTTCAAAACAAAATTAAGAATCACCTGGTTTTCGTAAACTTCCTTGCTATACATAAAGAACTTCACATTTATTTTGAAGAATATTATTGACGTTCCGTTGTTCAGACAATGCGAGTTGCAGTAATAGATACATTTGCAGAATTTCTGTCCTGTGATACAATAAACCTACCAAAGTCCACTTGTGGGGTGAGGACTCTGTTCCACACAGACATTGAGGATCATAGGTGGATGAGTTAGCCTCTTTATCACAGGGCTTCTGAAGTGGACCCGGGGTCTGCAGCAAGGGGAGGAAAGAAACACATCATCTATGGGAGTGTTCAATGGTACAGGTCTAGACAGGGTGCCCCTCACTCCCCCAGTGTGACTACAAGCAGATGAATGGGGTCACTACAAAACTAAGTCACTGGCCAGGAAGCCTCCTCCCAACAGCTCCATTAGATGAGAGTTCCATTCAAGCTTTTAGGGAAAACGTGCTCTCTCTTTCACAGCCGTAGGCTAAAATTTGATTTTTTGCACTCATGTTACCACTAAAGAACTTATCGATGTAACTCAAAACGTCCTATTCTCCAAAAACTAGTAAAACAAAATATTTTTTAAAACAATAACCAATGATTATATATAGAAATAAAACTTTTAAACAAAAATAGCTCCTGGTTTGTTTGAAGCAGCACAAGAAACTATAACAAAATGAGTTGCTTGATGCATCTGTTGCAAATTTATATAAGATGTGGAGGAAAAACAGTTTAGATTGAGCAAATAGTTGATGTTCAAATATTTGCCCAATTTTGTTAAATTTCAGTATGAATTTATTAACATTGAAATAAGTTAACATTATGATGACTATATATATTATTGTTGCTTACCTATTTTTATGACTGAAGATTATTTAGTTCTCTTTTTTGGAAGATAAATTGGGGAAATGACCATGTATAATTTTATTTATTTAAGATTGAAACCATGGGGGCCAAATTGGTTTCCTTGAAATTATAAATGAGTTCCATTTTTCCATCTCCTAATATAGGCTCAGCTGCAGGGATGAGCTAGCGAGTGCCTGTTTTAATTCATTAGTCATACCACACTTGAGTCTGTTAAGTCCATCTGGTTGCTTGCATAGGACCTCTCTTGGATGTTTCCATATTATCTGAGGCTACCCATCTTAACCTTGCACAAATAGCCATGAAATCTATAAACCTAGCAGATACAAAGAAGGTATTAGGAATAAGAAGAATAGGTCTGCTTGGTGAACTTTAAGAGGATGAAGTGCTCTTAGGATAACCAGAGGTAATAAAAGAGTCTGGAACATGAAATAAAACTTTCATTCAACAAACAGAGAAAGGCAGGTAACTGCTTGTGAAAATAGGTTTTTCACCCTCTATAGAATGAGATCTGGAATTCTGTTCAAGAAAAAAGCAAACTGAAAAACCACACACACTCGTACAACATGAGAAGGAATTTAGCCATTTTGCATTGAAAGGGGTGCAGTTTTCCTGAAGGCTGTTTCCTTCATCATTGAACGCTGCTTATTTTTCCTTCCAGTTTTCTTATCAAGATGCAATGCCATTTAATAAGAAAAAAATCCATTGAAAGAAGAATCCATAAAAAAATGTTATTCATGTGTAATGAGTTATACCAATTATCTTTCTGGAAAAAAAATGTATTTTGGATTGAAAAATATTTCTCTCTTAAAGCAGATTGTATTAGCAGAATTGCTGTATTTCTTTCTAATTTGGTCTTAAGGTCTCTCTTTGCAGAGTGGCTATAAACTCTAGTCCTGCCCTGACAGGGCTTTGGAGAATTTGGTTGTGGGTGTTCACTTTGTGCCTTTCACAGGATGCTTTTTAATCCTGGCAGACAGCATAACGCCTCAGTGTTCAGCACATGACCAGGTGTTCCTCGCACAGGAAACTTGTTTGTACCGGCAGATGTCCCTGTGGCTTTCATCTGACCTGTGTCCAGCTTATTCCTGTCAATATGACCCCTCCTAGGAGAGCCTTGACTGGGAGGAAAGTTAAAACCTTCCAGTGTGTTGCTTAGATGAGACTCAGAGGAGGCAACACAACAAAAACACATGCAGTAACTGAAGCAGTTTATTACTCACAGATCCATGGGACAGAGGGTGTGCCGACAAGGGCCAATGAGGCCACCGGGGCAGTGTGCTCAACCAGCAGGTGGGGGTCCAGAGAGGGGAGACCTAGGCACTGAGGCCTTTTTGCCCTTGCAGGTATTACCCAGGCAGGTTTCCTTTGGGGAGTTCCAACTGGTGGGTTCTTAGAGCAAATGGCACAAGTTCCATGGGGTCACATTCTGTCTGAGAACGGTCACTGTGGCGTATCTGCACAGTCCATGAGGGGTATGGCGTCACTGGGATGAGTCAAGGAAGTTGTGTCTACATATCCCATAGAAAAGTGGTCACCAAAAGTCAGTCGTGTAAGGCAGATACCTGGATTGACCATGTTGAGGAGCTGGAGGGAAGCAGGGAACTGGAAATTGTCAAGGGTATCAGTGAGACACCTGTGAGAAGGTTAAACTTAGATTCAAAATCAATGCTGAGGCTACATAAAATTTTAAGAACTCTTGACAACAATATGTATCAGAGTCAAATGTTTAGTAGTAAGAAAGCACCAATCCTAATGAAACGGGCCAACACCCTCTTGTTTCACCAGATGTGGTGGGGGAAGAACATCAAAATTGCAGACGGAGGTGGCCATTCTGCACAGTGGGCACCCTCAGGGTTGGTATCACTCAGTGCCAACAAAATTAGGTATTGCTTTGGTGATGCAGCCTCCAGTTCTGTACAGCAACTTTGCAGACCTCTTGTGTGACTGGGTGTTACGGTGGGCTTGAAAAAGCTCAGAAGGCTTAAAACATAAATGTAAACTAAGTACACTTTATTAGCCGTACATTCCATCAAGTTTAAATATTGAATCAAAATGGCCAGCAGAAAATATGAGCCCTTTTGACTATTCATAACCCTTGATATTATAATTCTTTTACATATTTAACATTATTTTGTCTATTGCTCACCGTGATTGTTATTTTAATGGAGAAATTATCCATGGCTCTTCCAATGGTAACATTATGTTAATTTTTCTTTGGGTTTTCCTGATCCTGAATTGTATAGGTCTTTCTGAACTTACGTTAATTAATGTGTTTCTAAGACAATTAAATGTCTTACAATATAGTGTTAGTGTCGGGGGTACATACACACATATAGAGACTTTTCCATATCTAGCTTAGAGAGGAAATAAAATTTTATTTCTTTTTTAAGAACATACTATTTAAGCATGCCTATAGAAGTCTGAGAAAGTTTCTATCTTGGCTGTAAATACTTATTAAATATTCCTTATTTGTACATGTATTATTTGTACGTGTATGAAAGTATTTCATTTTTTTAGTGTTATGTTTTTGTATTTTTCTCAGTTAGCGCTGTCCTGTGAGACTTAATCTAAGCAGTAACCTGCAGAGCTCTTTGGGTGGGAAAGAGAAGCAGGTGCCATTGCTTTCGTCTTTAAGCATGATTCTATACAGCTGCCTCGCTTGCTTTCAGTTGAAATAAATAAAAAGCATTGTGCAATTTTGCTGAAAACAGTATGGACTGTTTTATTTGATGATGTTGAGTGGTGTGAGAGGAAAAACAGAAATCATTATCCAGAAATTAACAAAGCAGTGGCAGCCACAAGTGACTGCGTGCGTTATTGCGTTGAGTCTGAAGCCCACATTAATTGGAAGATGGCTTTTCAGATTCCCACGGAAACCCCGTGTCACCCGAGGACCAAGTCAGCCTGGCTCAGCAGATTTCTGACGTGGTGAAGCAGCCGGCCTTCATAGCAGGTATCGGAGCAGCCTGCTGGATCATCCTCATGGTCTTCAGCATCTGGCTTTATCGGCACCGCAAGAAGAGGAACGGACTGACTAGCACTTACGCGGGTATCAGAAAAGGTATTCGCTTTCCCAAGGTTTTCATGTTTTAATGTTTCTAAAACTCTTGATTTTAATATTTGATTCCAAATTATTCATGGTTATGCATATCCTCTAAAAATTTCTTAATATATAAAGATTTTCAAAAGTGCGTTTATGGTGCTGTGGTATCCACATACAAACTTCTCTTACGTAGCAGAACTGCAAATAGAGTTGATTAGTTTCTTAGGGCTCAGTTCCTTTAAAACAGATTTCGCCAAGGTAGGTCTACCTTTGGCTGTTAGACCATTTCCCTTTTCTCTTAGGGAATTATTTTATTGCCTTATGTTCTTGAGGGAAATTTTTAATGTCCTTGTTATTGGAATTATAAATGCAACCTTGAAACAATCTCACGCAGTTTCAGAGGAGACACCATTACCCTCTGTGAAGCAAAATAGAAAATACTGCCATTTGATTATGTATAAAATACTCCTTTCTTGGTGAATATGGAAGGCGTGACTGAGTGATGTACTGTTGCTTACAGAGAGAAGAGGGTTAGTCCATTTTTATTATTGTAAAGTTGCGAAATGGAATATGTGTATGCTGTTACTTAGTGATGGTGATTTTGTTACAAATATGTTTGCAGTTTTAAAAAAGACAGCTTACTTGGCCACTATTATTATTTACAATTTTAAAGATGACCCAAATATGCCAAGATTTTCACAGATATTTTTGCTACTTATCCTTAAACTCCGAAGCCTGCTGATACTTTTGTGTTTTGTATTCTCAAAGGAAATTGTTAACAGTGTCAGACAGACAATGCTCCCTGCCCCTTTGATATCTTCATCAATTCTGAGCCTCAGATCTTGGCTGTAGGTTAGGTTAGATGGTTGTAAGTCGCAGTTTTCAGGGACACCGAGTTTATGTCATTAGTCCAACAAGATCACTTCTAGTACCCCATTCTTGCTCTCAGAATTGTACTAAGTGGCAGATTATACAAATGAGAGGGCCCATCCTTCAGTCTCATGCAACAGCTTTGCTTGCTGCAAAGCAAATTTAAAGAGGATTTCCAATTAAAAAAAAAAGTCTTCTACCATCACCAACTTTTCCCCCCGATTTTCTACATAAGTGAACATTTCTTACACATGTTGGCCAGATTGTTTCCCTGACCAATTACATGACAAAGTCAGCATTTTTCATGTTAGCTAGAACTTGAATGTCCCTACGCATAGATAAAACAGTACGGGACAGCAATCTAGAATATTTGTGTTCTCCGTCCCAAGGGGACTCAGCAAGAGTCAACACAAATGCGTCACTAATACATAAAACTAAATCCCCTTGCCACCTGCCTGTGGCTCAGCAGCAGTCTCTTCATGTACATACATTTGCTTTAGCATTATCATCCTTAAATATGTTTTTTTCAGATATGTGTCCTATCTAGGGATGAAGCAGTATGTCAATATTCCTGCCTGTGAAATGGAAAATGAGGGCTTGGAGGTTACTGAAAAGAGAACTGGCGCTCACTATGTATACAAAGTAGAAGAATGTCAGGCACATGTTACCATAGAAAACCTTTGACTAAAAATAATGGTAGACAAGGGGTTTCTGGGTGTCTTTGTGTGGCGGAGCGGGGAAGGGGAAGGGTGTCAGGGGTGGAAGATGTTTGGAAAGCTGATTTGAATGAGGAAGAGGGTGACTAATTAACATATACATGTGGAGTCTCTTGAATTCATCATCAAAAGACCTCCATACTCTGTTTTGCAAATAGCCAGTCGGTGGAATCCTGGGTTTCTTATGAGGTGCCATAGCTGCGTGATGATACTAATTTAATGCTCTATGTTGTCTTGAACTCTAGAAATGTGACATGCAACTCTCCTTCCTACTGAAATGTTTCTTTACTAACGTACTTTGAGCATGCCGAGAAATGCGTATGTCCTCTTTGTGCAAAACCTATTAAACTAATACCATTGTCCTTTCAGCTTAGCTTGTGTTTAAGCAGAAATCATAGAACATAATTACAAATGTAATTTGATGAGCATTTGATTCTGCTTTCTTCACTTTGTCCTGCTGGCACTTTTTCATAATTTTGTTTCTATGCAATTTTTTAAGTGCATTTTGAGATCTTAAATTTTCTATGCCAAAGTCAATGCCAGTAATTTTAAGAAAAAAGAAAGTGAAATATTTTAAAGAATAAAAAATGTAAGAGAGCCCATTGACCTGTAAAACATCAAGCCAGAGTGTAACTTTGGGGGAATAGTGAGTCTATTTAACATTTCCCCCTTACGTTTAGCTATCGGTGTGACATCTGCCAGTTGGCTGGGTACCCCCTGCCACATGCATTCACAGAGTGCACCAGCATCACTTAGGGACACAGAGAGTTTATTATATTATTGGAAGCTTTGAAAATTAAGTTGCTGTTTGGTGTGCTAGCAGTGAAAATTTCATTTAGATTGACCTCCTTTTCATCTCTTCTCCAGTTCCTCAAAGTGGGGTTAGCAGTTAGCTAGGAGAAGTAATGACAAGGACCTTTCATATTTTCCCAGTGTCCTTGTGATTGCAAATTAATGTTCAGGCACTCCATTCTTGCTTGAATAGCTTTAGTTTCAAATGCACCTTTCATTTTTTTTTTTTATATGAAGACTTGTTACTATGGCTCTGAATTTTTGAATGTAGCTAAATTACACTGACTCTGAAAAGACCTGACTGAAAAAAAAATACAATAGGATTCTTAAAATGGGGATTGCTGTGCTGCAAACGAAGGCCAGGGTATAAATTGGGGATGCAGCACTGAGGTTTTTGCTTTTGTTCTTTCTAGTATGCTCAGAGATAAAGTGTCTGGGTAAGAACTGGCAATTGTAGAGGATGCTATAGCCTTTCAGTTTGCAACCCCAAGTGCTCCGATTTTACAGTAAATTTCCTGGAGATGTCCTAATGTGAAATAGAAAATATAACTCTGGCAGCGTTTTGATACATGATAAGTAATCAATATTCTAGTTTGTTTGTACTAAAGATTATTTTAAAGAAACTTTAATCTTAAAGGGAATAACATATATTTCCTTGCTTTTTTTTTTTTTTTTTTTTTTTTAACCAGAGCAGCATTTACTTTAATTTAACATGAAGAGATTGGAACTAAGTCAATCTCCTCCCTCTATGAAATGACATGGAAATTGCTCTGCCGTTATCCAACCCCCCAGGAATGGGAGAAGATAGGAAAAGTGGGGGAGGAATGGCTGCTACTTTTGAGGTCTGCAGTTCAATTTCAGGCATTATTGATGAGATTAAGATTTATAACTGCAGAGAGAGTGACGGTTTTCAGAAGGGTGTTATCGTTCTATTGTTTAGCTTCTACTGTGGTATTAAAAGAATGCCCAGTCTACTTCTCGGAAGCTTCTAAAAGTAAACTCAAAGAAATTAGAATTTAAAATTCCAGTTTTTTCTGTCCATTCACAAATTTTTATGATGGTAAGAAATGTCATTTATGTGATAAGACGTCAGGCATTTCCGCTCAGCGAAACAGTTAAATTTTGTGGTTCTCTTTTATTCAGTTCATCTTTTTCTTTGCTTTCCTTTCCTTTCGTTGTGTTTGTTTTTTCTTCCCCTTTCCTTGCCTTTCCTTGTTTTCCTTCTTTCCCTCTTTTTTTCTCTCAATGTTGAGTACATAAGTGTATCTAGTAGTTCACTTTAAGAAGCATTTACTTTCAGATTTCTAGATAAGGTCCAGCAAGACTCTGATAATACTTGTTTAAGAATCCATCACCCTGTGTTTGGAGATGATTAATAGTGGAGGATTCTTGTTTGTACGAAAGCCATGAGCTAAATCTGTGTTACTAAATGCAGGGTCATTTGCAGGCTAACCTAGCAGAATTCCCTTCCTGAGCGTACTAGAATGTCAGACACTTGAAAATGGTACCTGTAGAGACAAGCTTCTTTTTTTAACCTCAGAGTTGGTTTTATTCATAGATCAGAGTGTCAGAACTGCTGGCTTAGTTATTTACATTTGTTTTATGTTCAGCTGTCTGCTTGATTTATACTAATGTGATATGTTCCCTTTCTCTCTTCAGCTTAATAACTGGTTTATATTTTGTTTTGATTTTCAGTCCCGTCTTTTACCTTCACACCAACAGGTATATATTTGCACTTACCCTCCTCCTTTCCATTGTTAGTCTGGCATGCGTTCTACTATTGTGTTCCTGTTTTTATTTCATTTTCTGCAGTGAGTTGGGGGTAAGAACTTAAAGTGCATATAATACTTGATTTACTCACACCAGGCATGTGTTTAAAGTAGACACGGTTGCTGTTGCTTTTCCTCCATTTGATGCAATGATGTATTCACAGTTCCACACTGGAGCTTAGCCTTGTTTGCATGTGTTTCATTAAGTAGACGCACTCTCTCTACCTTCAGCATGATTTAACATGCTAATGATCTTATTGACTACTTCAGACTTGGCAGTGCATTTTTCAACTTAAGCTTTCGAGTTTTCCAACAAAAATTTCTCTCCCTTGTATTTCTCTGTCCCCAGAATCAATATTGTTAAAGGTAACCAAAATACCCAGCACATGTGAAAGATGAAACTTTTCATTTTCCCTAAGTCAGAATCCTAATATTCCGTTCTATTCAAAATGGGTCCTCTTCTGTCACATCATCTCCAGGAAAAGATGTACCTGTAGCTACGCCCTCTCAGTTTTAATCCAGTTATTGTCATCACTGGGAGCAGTTATCTCTCTATAACAGACTTCCAGTTTGGAGTTCTTCTAAGTAGTGGAATTTGGCAGCTTTAAAAACACATTTCTTCTTAGAAAATGTGTCTCTATTTACAGAAAAGCTAATCTTCTTAACCACTTAGCCTAACTATGTGCAAATCTTTTTTTGTTGTTGTTATGGTTAAAATTTTCCACCCCAAATTTATTACGCCGAGAATGCTTTCAAGAGCATTATAATATATTTTGATTATCTATACATGTCTGATGAAAATACAATAAGAAATAATTTGCACAAGCCACAATAAAAAATAGGTCACATGAATTAATAGTCACAACTTGGCATACATCTTTGTGTGTGGAAAGCTTTATTTTAACATTTATCTTTGACTTACTGGTACTCATATTTCTGGGAAAATTAGTAGGTTTTTTTTTTCTGAGTTTAAGTTTACACTTATATAAAATCATGAAATTATGTGCTCCAATAATCAATTCAAAATGGAAATCCATGGGAATGCTAATGTACAGATGTGTAATAGTTATATTTAATAAGAATGTACTGATGTTTTGCTTTTTCTTGATTCTCCACCTTATTGGAACATGAAGAAAATAAGAGTGATATATAGATATCTAATTATATATATAATTAGATATATGATATGTATATATAATTCTATACAATAGTTAAAAGAAATGTCACTAGTTGAATCAGAAATCTGTTACATCGTGTGGTGATTTTTGCAATGCTTCTATGTAGGAAGACAGAAGGAATTCCATTTTAGAAAGATGCTCACGAATGTAATAGCTTTTGATATATAAATATGTCTATTAATTGTTCCTTTTTTTCGTAATATTCTAGTAACTTACCAGAGAGGAGGCGAAGCTGTCAGCAGTGGAGGGAGGTAATTATCTTGCTTGTTTTGTAGATCCTACAGGGAATTCCAAATATTTCTTCATCTTCCTCAACGACACCACTTTCTCTGCTTAAAAAGTCTAACTTAAAGGTGAAATGTGTTTAGTTCCTTGAGAAAGACTCCATTTAGCTATGCTGTTGAACCAAGCTGTTTACACCCAAACGTAGTTGATTGGGGTAGTTGCATCTTAATCAGTGACCACCAGAGAGCGCACTTTAACCGAGAAAGAGACGCTGATTTAGCAAATGATTAAAAGGCGTTAAAGTGACTAAGCTGTGGCATTTATGAAGATGAACAAGTATAGCCAGTTAACAAATACTATCAAAGAAAAAGTGTTCATTTGAAAAAGCTGCTGAACACAGCAATTGCTGATAAGTTGTAGGTGATGTTTGTCTGTTCTTGTTATGAATTCAACATAGTTCACATCTCCATTTGCAGGAAAATGTGTTGAAATAAAAGAGGAAGTCTGGGTAGCTTGTTAACAAAGGCCGTTTTCCCTCCTCTAATTAAAATGAATCTCAATCTTATATTTATGATTTTTTAAGTAATTATTATTCAGTGAACTTTAATATATTCACGGAGAAATCACAAATTGATGTGACAACCCGCTTCAAGGGGCTGAAATAAGGTATAAGTTATGTGATGAGCCAAGCTTCAGAATTTTTCACAATAAGATGTTTTCTTTTTTCTCCAAAACAGTAACATCTAGCTTACGGTGTAAAAAAAGAAATCTTCCACCAAAACCATCTTATAATTCAAATTCAGTGAACTTACTAAATTCCCTTTGTACAGCTGTGTAACATGGCTGCTACTGGAAAGCTAGAAATGAGTAAGATATTATTCCCGAATTAAAGGAACATACCATCAGATCAGAAAATGACTGAATTTAAGAAGTGGTTTAAAATAATAAAGGTTGACCACCTTTAGCCAGTGCTGTACAAATTTGGCGACAAGTACTAATCTTTTCTTTCCTGGGTATTGCTAACTTCCTGTTCTCATACCTGTGAAACAAAGCCAGCCAGTGACAGACCCAAAGCTAGGAAGGTTTTCATAAGGAATAAATCCACTCGATTCAGGAATTAAAGCAGGGCATGTTTGTGCATCCAGGGGAATTCCATCTAAATCACAGCCCAGACATTATGAAAGAGCCTCTGGCATGAGAACATTTTCTCATGGGTGAATCTGGAATACCTGATTTTATAACCACTTCATTACATGTGTACATTTCAGCCTCCTCATTAATCAAAGCATGTGAAAGTGCTTCTTGAGCATCTTTGATATGTTCTTCACTAGCCTCTGTGCGTGGGCATGTGTACACAAGTATCACAGACACAGGCACTTACAGAAGTACAAGCCTGGTTCCTACTCTAAAAGAATTTACAACCTGGGTAGAGCAAACCAGCACATGGGAAGCGATGGCAGGAACGCATAGGTAGCAAATGCTGGTTGCTGTGGCAGGATGGGAAGATTACAAAGTTCCTGAGCTACCTCTTTGGAAAGCTCACTATATCACAAAACAAACATAGCTTTTTAAATTTAAACATAGAATCCCTGGCAGTGAAGCTGATTTATTTCAAATACTAAGTAGAAATGATCATTTTCCTAAATGAAATGCTAAACCATGTTGGGATATTACGGAGGCAACAGTTCAATAAAGATTTCAGAGTCAGTGCTCAAAATGTCAGTTATATACAAAATGTTAAAATTATTTATTCATGCAATATATTGAACACTTACTATGTGACAGGCACTAGTTTACTTACTTGGGATGCATCAGTAGGCAAAGTGGATAAAAATTCCTGCCCTTCTAGACCTTAGGTTGTAGTGGGGAAGATGCAAGATGAATAATAAACATTTTTTTAAAAAGTCAACTGTATAATATCAGCAGTTGATAAATGCTATGGGAAAAATAAAGCAGGATGAGGACAGTAAGGATGCTTTACGAAGGGACCTCATTCCTAGCCACTTATGGGTGTGTGTGTCAGTGTGTGTGTCTGTGTGTCTGTGTGTCTGTGTGTCTGTGTCTGTGTTTCGTGATCCAGTGAGATCGGAGCGGGAATAATGAACCAGACTCCTACACTGACTTCTCTTGTGTCTGTCCCTTAAGCACTGGTTTCCCTCATGTGTTTAAGACTCTCTTGAGCCCTCACTGGACCTCCTACCTCACTTGGTTAATGACACCAAAGCAAAAACCTTCCATCCATCCTCTTGGATCTCCTGTATCCGTTACTGCATTTTGTTGATGCTGTCTGGTAACTCCTTTCACTCTCATATTGTTTCATTTCCAGCCCTACTTCTCCTTTGCCTAATCTATGACAAAAGCTCTCAGGAGTCCTACCTTTATCTATAATACCTTCATTAGCACTATTTCCTGCTAATTCCCTTTGCTCACTGGAGACAGAATGATCTTTTGAAATGCATATTGATCATGTTTCTGAGCTCCAGACAATCCCATTATCAACAGGACCTACCATGTTTAGAATATCAGATCTAAACTGGCCATAATATGCGAAGCTCTAGGGCTCTGCAGACTGACTTCACACCTCAAAATGTGCCAGATCCTACAATCCACTGTTTCACCCCACCGGCCGTTTGCCAAGATGGCATTTTCTTCCGTGTCCTTACTGCACTGCCCCTGTATTATATAGGTCTGGACTGTCTCCCCACCCAGCAACCCTTCTCAGTTTACTGAATTCCACCTACTATGCCCTCCATTAACTCTCTAATGTGGAATTACCTCAATGAAGCACCTAACATAAGGTGATGCCATTATCTTTTGTTTGTATCAGAGGTCAGCTAATGATGTCTCTTGGGCCAAATCCAGCCTGTCACCTGTTTTTGTAAATAAAGTTTTATAAGAATACAGCCAGACTCATTTGTTTACATATTTTCTATAACTGTATTTGAGCCACATTGACAGAGTTGACTAGTTATCAAAGAAACGATACGGTTTGGAAAGCCTTAAAACGTTACTCTGTGGTCCCTTACAGAAAATGTTTGGCAACTCCTGGTAGATAATGACTGCCTCTGACAAGAGAATGTGAGTTCCTGGAGGATGGATATTACATGGTTTATTTATTGATAAATGGATTTTTAATAAAGTAATAAATGTAATTTATTGAATTACATAAATAAATGGGATAAATGACACAAAAGATTAATTTTTGAAAGATGTCACTTATAAGTAAGAAAAAAACGAATGAACCATTGAATAAATGAATGTCAGAAGGCCTGAGTTCAGTCCTTGGTGACATTAGAGAAGTTTTGGAGGCTGTATTTTTTTCCTCTAATAAAAGGAGAAGGTTATCTAGAACTCTGTTATAATTGTGAACCTTGCAAGTGTGGCTATTCCTGGAAAAGAGAGAATAAAGATTGTGGTAAGCAAAGAGACCCCTTCCCAACTTAAAAAGGGCAAAGAAATTGTGAGAAAATCCAGGGAAATGATCATGGAAATATTAAGTAACTGTTTCTGTTCATTTGTTTTCCTTTCCTCAAACATTCCAGGCAATGTGTCCCAAAAAACATACTTAATCCAAACCACAGTAGAAGGCAAGAAAGCAGAGAAAACCTGAGAAGGGTGGGGCGGGAAAGTCTGGCTAACCTGGTAGAGAATGCCAATACCACATTCCCTGTTGGTGGGAGGTGAGGAAATAGAGCTCAAGCCTTTGCTTCTCTTTAAAATATTGGCAGTTCGGAGATCTAGCCCTTGGCTTTAGAGCTCATTCAGGCTGCCAGTGGGAAGGGGAGACAGCCTATTGCCTGACAAGCCTTCCTGCCGGGCTGCTTCACCGTTTCCCCAGCTCCTGGACTCTGTACTGTTTGATTTTGTGATTTAGCAGCTCGAATAGGCTTTCTTGGGGTGAGTGATTGGAATATCAACAGAAGAGTAGGAATTGAAGGTAATTGCCATATAATTACTAAAGTGCATTTGCCTTCTTTTTTCTTCATGGCACAAATCTATCCACTTAATATATTATGTGATAATACTATATAATAATATTTAAGAAACATGTTAATACCTATAACTGCCATGTGGATTTTTTCTGCTTCATATCTTAAGCTCAAATACATAAAGGTAGCCTGGAGAATTGTTTAAAAAAGACCTTAGAACCCTTATTAGAGTAGCTACATATGACCTTGACTTCCTCAAAGTCCTCTCAGATATATACATGGCATTTTAAGGTTCATTATGGGCCAGTAATCACAGCTCACCTTCTGCCTTAAGTAATTAGCATTCCAAATTCAAGTCTAAACAGAAAACGTGGATGTAAAGCGATAAGTCAGCTTCCTGTTGGAAATCACTCATATTTATGAAAAGGGCTCTCAGCCTATGATGATATCAAAGCATTCACTATGAAAGTATTTTTCAGAGGGAATCAGAGCAGCATAAAAATTTGTCTGTTTCTTTTGAAACATGTCAGTCAGTCTGTGGAAAATTTCCTCTTGACCCATACTTCAGACGTCCTGTAACATCTCTGCTGTGTCACATATGGAGTTTTATTTTTAATAACTTCTACAGTGATAATATGCATAGTTTAAGTTCAAAGAAAAATAAAATAGGAAAGCAAACGATTACTAGATGCAGAATTTCTGTAACAATATCTATTTCAAAGGCTCCAGATATCTGTGTTATAACTTGCATTTAAATGTCTAAAATTTCAACAGTTTGGAAACGCTGTTCTTCAAATCACGATTTATCAACAATTTTAATAGTAAGGTTGGCTCAGTTTTAACGGCTTACACTTCCAATACTTTCTCCACTCTTCCTTTTATGAAGAATATTCCAGAGCTTTGGGAAATGTTAGCACTTTCCCGTATATGTGTTTATAAAATCTTAGATTAGAGTGTATACTCTAGGGCCAGCCTGCTAGGGTTTGATTTTCAGCTCTGCCACTCACTTACTTTATATAACCATGCACAAACTTCTTCACATCTCTTAGACATCCCATTTCCTCATCTTTAAAATTTGGATAACAGTACCTCCCTTGTAAAATTGTTGTGGTGACTAAATGAGCTCATACATGTTAAAAAAAAAAAAAAAAAAAAAAACAGAACAATGCCTCACACGTTACAAGCAAAGGGTAAATATTTGTTTTTATTATATAAATATATGTACTCACATATGTATAGAAAAATGAATCATAAATCCATAGCCTTTTTTAGAATGGATTACTTCTCAACCATCATTTGCATACTAAATTTCCTCAGTAGATTATGTGCTAGAATAAGAACCATGGAAGGTAAAATATCAGATTTTTGCTTCCCAGGTAAATAAGAAACATAATTATTGCATTTTAACATAGAAAATAAAACCACCAAGAAAATATTTGCAGAATCTGTAATGCCAGTCTGTTTATTGTGAGTGGGACATCACCTCTTTTGCTGAATGGAGGTATGTATGAAGTCAGTGTTGGAGAAGGAAATGAAGAATGCCACTCTTGAACTCCAGTTTGAGTCCCTGGCTCTGTTGGTCCAGGGCTCCCATTAATAATCGCTGATGTACTTGGCATTCCCAATGCATGGTAAAAGAAGAATCACATCTTCTGCCAAAAACTACCAAAATGAACGCTAATATTCTTTTTAGTGGGCATCTCTGTTTTATCAGATTTAATTCATCAGCTTTCCTTTGCTTATGTTGGGATGTATGACATTTTACAATGTCACCATGAGAAAATGTTGACAAGCTTATAGACCTATGCACTGAAACATTGATGAGGATCTGTGTAAAATGTCACAGAGCCCCCAAACTCATTAGATGGGAAGCATGGTTTTGGAGAAAGAAAAATACGCCAGTGCATTTAATTTGAAGCATCTATCGTCTGAGTAAAGAGGCTTGTTTCTTTTTTTTAATGAAGTTGTAAGGAGTCACAATTTTTTAATGGGTCAAAATGAAGAAGTGCCAACTATCTGAATTAGGGCGTTTTTTTTAAGCCACTAAAAGACTAAAAAATATTTTCATATTCCATGTTTGATGTTTAACCATTCTGACTAAAGGCAGAGTAGAACGTTGCAAACGATATGAGATTTTAGGTCTGATGCGTAACTCTTCCTATGGACAGTTATGGCTGTGTAAATGGAGGTGCATCCCAGGACCTTATGGTAAGTTGCCTTGAGTGTAGAATCAAAGGGCTAATAATGTCATTCAGCATAGTTCATCAGGTGATTGGTGAGAATAACAAGATGAGGAAGTTATTGGAATTTTCAGTAGAAAATATCATTCTCTATTCATATAACATTTGCTTTTATGTATTTTTTTATTTAGGCCTGGACTTCTCAACATCAGTGAACCTGCCACGCAGCCATGGCTGGCAGACACGTGGCCTAATACTGGCAACAATCACAATGACTGCTCCATCAACTGCTGCACGGCAGGCAATGGAAACAGCGACAGCAACCTGACTACCTACAGTCGCCCAGGTTAGGGACGCAGAGAGAGCGTGATCTGTATAAGCTTTTTAAGGAACCAGCCAGAAGATGTTTTCTTTCCCTCTCCCTGCATGGGAAGATAAAATTTGACCAATATTTTATCCAGTGCTGACTATCGTTTAGCAAAATAGCCTGATTTAAGTATTTTCTCCATCCCTTAACCTCCATACTTTGCTAAAGTCCACCAAAAATATTTTGCCCAGATAATTGGGAAGATAAATTATACAATCGATAGCAAATAAGGAAAAATAAAATCATGGGGAAGTATGTATGTATGTATTTGTTTATTGGAGACAGAATCTCACTCTGATACCCAGGCTGGCGGGTAGTGGCATCCGCTTCCTGAGTTCCAGTGATTCTCATGCCTCAGCCTTCCGAGTAGCTGGGACTACAGACATGCACCATCAGGCTCAGCTAATTTTTATGTATATATATTTGTAAGTAGAGATGGGGTTTTGCCATGTTGCCCAGGCTGGTCTCAAACTCCTGGCCTCACACGATCCATTCACCTCAGCTTCCCAAAGTTTTGGATGGGAATACAGGCGTGAGCCACCGTGCCCAGCCGTAAAAGTATTTAAAAAACAATTTTTTTTTTTTTGACGAGTCTCACTCTGTAGCCCAGGCTAGAGTGCAGATGCGCAATCTCAGCTCACTGCAACCTCCGCCTCCTGGGTTCAAGTGATTCTCCTGCCTCAGCCTCCCAAGTAACTGGGATTACAGTCACACAGCACGACACCCAGCTAATTTTTATAATTTTAGTAGAGATAGGGTTTTACCATGTTGGCCAGGCTGGTCACAAGTATTTATGTTGATAAGAATGTATGTGATTACGTTTTATTTTACCCTTTTTGTTTGTTTGTTTGTTTGTTGTTTTTTGAGATAGGATCTCACTCTCTCACCCAGGCTGGAGTACGGTGGCATTAACACAGCTCACTGCAACCTCAGCCTCCTGGGCTTAACTAATCCTCTCACCTCAGCCTCCCAAGTAGCTGAGACCACAGGCGGGCACCACCATGCCTTGCAAATCTAAAAAAATTTTTTGTAGAGATGCAGGTCTTGCTATGTTGCTCAGGCTGGTCTCAAATTCCTGCACGCAGGCAACCCTCCTGCCTCAGCCTCCCAAAGTGTTAGGGTTATAGGGGTGAGCTACTGTGCCTGCTATATAATTTTTAATTGTAATTAAATATCTTTAATCATATTTAATCATTTTTGAGATTTTGGGAATAACATAGATCAAAAGGTAAATAAATTCATAGTTATAATGAACCAAATTCTTTAATAGCAAAAACAATAATAATAATAATATACAACAGTAATACAAAAAATTAAATAAAAGTTAACTGGAATTTTAAATCAGATTTTATAGTATATTAGCAAATCCTGAGGACATGAGAGAGATATATATGTATATATTGTGTGTGTATATATACATACATACACACACATAGATATATATGTATTATGTGTATATATACACACACAC